ACCTGACGAGTATCTCGTCGGGTGACTTTGGGCCGATCGATGGGGAGAAGTGTTTGGAGTATTTCAACCCCATTGCGGAGAACGAGTGAGCCGCTCTCGAAATCGACGGGAATGTCTTGTGGTATTGAAGAGTGTCCTAGATACAATGAAGTGCTGCAAACATGGTCAACTAACATCCTAGAGATGATGCAGTTGGCTTCAGAGGAGACCGGCACACCGCCCATCCTTCGTGGGATATCACCACACAAGAATGATCATGTTCGAGTCGGCTAACCGACTGTTCTACCATGCTGTGCATGATGATCTGAAGGACGATTAATACGATTGTTGAGTTCCATCGAGTTCCCATAGGGCCTTTGAATAATCGGCGTTGTGATCGAAAAGGAAGATAATACTTCTCCCGAAGTATACTTTCGGTATTTTCCTGAGGACTATTCAAACCTTTCCCCGGGCACGAACTCGAAAAATATTGAATATTAGAACCAAGCACTGCTAACATTTCTCAATGCATGACGTTTATGAAGTGTGAGGCACGAAGCGAGAGTGTCGAGAGAGTCCCCAATGGCAAGCCTCTCGAAGTGTACTCGTATGGGACGGCATGGAACGTAGTGGTGATGGTGGTGATCTATAAAGGACATGATGGTATAATACTACTCAGATGCATCCTGGTCGGTCTGTTACTGGCAATATAACGCGGTTCAATGGTAGACACTTCCCCGAGAAAGCGCGGCAAACGCATTAGATGCCCAAAGCACTCACGGTCAGTGTAATGGAGTTCCTCTCGTGCATCGGCTAAATCTTCGAACCGGCGTAAGAGCTTGGCAAGCTCCGATGCCGGGGCGTCGAAAACGGCACCCCTAGGAATCCTGAAGCATCGAGATGATAACTTTCTGAGTAGCATCACATCCCTCGATAACTTTCACAAGTATATTGATGTGGGATGATACCACTCCATAGCCAACATTCGCTGGCGTGATGTGCAGGCTAAGCTGATGCCCTGTGCATTCATGCTAGTCTAACTAACCCTTGTTGTCGGTGTTGGACATTAAGCATGCACACACCTACTGGGCCCAGTCGGATATCGTCCGATTATCCCAATCCACTCGGTAGACTCTTAGAACTGGTAGCTCCTTGCCAACTTGGTGTGCCACACACATTGGAAGATCCTCTCCTGGTGCTCCGTCTCTGAGAAGATTATAGTGATGCCTCTGGATACATCAAG